TGCTTTCCTTTCCCCGTTCCTGCCTCTAACACGTACCCTGATGCCATTCCAGTCCCTCCTAAAGGAGTGAGAGAACACCCCTTTTACTAAGCACCTCCCCGCGGCCATCTACATCCCTCTCCCTGCCTCTGCTTACCTGAGACCCAGAGCAGCAGCAGCAGCAGCAGCCACGGCCAACCCCGGAGCACTGTCCTCTCCATTCTGTCCGCTCCCTGGACCCACTGTGCTGGCTGTCCCAAGGGCTCTAGCAGTTGCTGGAGGCTATTGGCCCATATGGGTGTTTTCTGTCTTCCCTGACAGGCTCAGCTGTTGCTTTGCAATTGAGAAACCCTGCGGGAAATGCAATGAGAGGGAACAGCTCAGGAAAATGCAGAAGGACACAGAGAAAAGAGACAGCACTGCCCTTGTGACACCTTCCTTCCTGATTTCATTATGTCATATCCCTATTGAGCAACACGCGGTAGCACCCCATTCTCTCCCATAGAAAATCTAGACCCTCCCACCTGACGTCCCACCTCTGCTCCACTCACTTTCCAAGACATTCTCATCACTGGACACTGGACACTAAGTTTCCCGCAAGCCCTCCTGCCATCCTCCCTGCGTGGAAGGAACTGTACATCCACATTTGGTGTGCCCTTCGAGGCCCAGTTCAAACCTTCCTGATGACGTGCCTTCTTTCCTCTGACTCCACACCATGACTCTCAAGTCTGGGCATGTGGCCAAATCGCCCTGGAAGCGTGGCAAACATACACATGGCTGGGCTCCACCTCCAGAGACTCTGATTGGGTCAGTGAGGCGAGGGCCCAGGAATCTGCATTTTCACGAGCAGCCCACGTGATTCTGAGGCAAGTGGTCCAAATAGACGTTGCCTGTAAAAGCTCTGTGTGAGATCAGATGGGCCCCACAGTGTTCCCAGGATATTCTGCCTGTGTGTGAGGCCGGCACTTCTCTGAGCCCCCAGTCTCAGCATAGGCACGGAGACCACAAGTAGAAAGGTGCTGGGAGTAGCTACCACAGATCAAAGGCCTACTGTGTACCAAGTGCTTTACTCGGGTTATCTCATTGAACCCTGTCAGCTTTGAGAGGCTATATCGTAAATAGTTGTCATTCTTTGGGTCTCAAGTGCCCAGTGCCTTTTCCGTTTGGGGGATAGGCCCCAACGT